TTATTGTCTTTGTGACCTTATAAGTCATATCATCTGTTCTTTTCAAACCTTTCTATGTTTTACTAATCATAAAATAATACATGGTAGAACTGTAGCTGAATGCAATGAGTTCACCCTTTGGTGAGTGCAAAGGCAATAAACATAATCAGGAGATGAAAGAGTGAATAGAGGTTTATTACTTATAATAAGTAAGGAAAGCACTGGGAATAATTCTCTGAGAATCCCTCTGAGCAAAGAAAGCAAGGGACTTTCATTAGAGAGACTCATACATGTTGATACAGCAAAGATCCCTACTCTTTACATGCAGGGGTGGGTACATTCCTGACCACGCTCAGTTTCATATATTAGATGTTCAAAAAATGACAGATAGGCACAGTGGTTCATGCCTATAATCCTAGCTACATGGGAAGCACAGATCTGGATGATCAAGGTTCAATGCCAGTCCACGTAAAAAGTTAGAGGAGACCTCATTTCAACCAGTAAACCAGGTATGTTGGCTACACTGGAGGCCTTACATAGGAGAAATGAAGTTTGAGGCGGCCTAAACAAAAAGAAAGGCCCTATCTGAAAAAAATAACTAAATCAAAAAGGGCTGGAGGTGTGATTTAAGGAATAGAGTACCTGTGAGACCCTGATTTCAAACCATATACTGCCAAAAAAATTACCCAACAACTTGGAAGCTCCTAAACAGTTAGCAGTCACTTAAAGGGGCATCAGCTACCTCACCCCCAACACATAGTTATCCTAAAAGCACCTGTCTATCAGTTAAGGAAGCATCCGGAATAATACACATATTACAAAACAGAGCATGGCTCAACATCTGGAAAATTCAGAAATGTACAAAAGAAGGGGCAAAAAATATTTCAATCCTAGCTTTCAGAGATAATCATTGTTCAAAGATTGTGTATTTCAATGTAGTATCTTATCTTTTCTTTTTGCTTATATGAAAATTGAGATGATATACAAGATTCATATGTACTTTTACATAATAAAACTTATCAATAAGCTTCAACTCCTTCCTTTTTTAGTGACTATATCATAAGGAGTATCATCTATTACCCTAGAAACAATGAGCAGGTATACCAAAATTCACAAATTTGTTCAAAAACATCTTTTAAACTATTATTTTGTAACTACTTAAAGAGCTTAGATTTTCATATAGTGATTTAGCAGTTAACTTCTATTTTGAATTAAGTATGTGTTTTCTTTTATGCAGATTTCTTCATCCTACATTTTGAATTTAGATTGTTTCTTAGTCTATTAAGTTTGTTACTTTTCTTATTCTACGTTTTATTTTGTAAAAGTTAATCATGTCAAGTGTTTATTACAGAGCCTATTTTACTTTTGGAAAAGTGAAACGCATATAAAATGCAAATAAACTGATGATCTCAATAAAATGTAGTTCTACATTCTGTTCTATATAAACAAGTAAAATAGAATGATGTGACTTAGTTTACTAAAGTCACAAATGCTTGAAGTGCAAACACTATCCCTAAAGCATTGCTGCCAATAGCAGTTGCCACCTAAGAGTTGTGTCCTTTAAAATTTGTGCAAATCCACCATCACTTAAAAAAGTATTTTAAAAATTTAAAACTGCCTTGATTCAACAAAATTGAAGAATGGAGAATGTACTGCGTTCTATAATATAACACATACTACATTAGGACAGAAGATGCTTATGAAACTTACTCCTGTGATAATTGGAACTTCACCCTATTTTTAAAATTTTTACCTCTTGAAGGAATTTTTGTTCCTGAAATAGTTAAATTCAGTATTGAGTCACATAAAGGGGTGACAATGAGGGTGAAATTTGATCTGCATGACTGAAAGCTAAAACTCTGAGTTTATTCACTTTATGTCCATTAAGTATTTGAGTCACTTTAACTACAAGGCATAGAACTAGGCTCTTAGAACAGAGGAATCATATATTAGAACAGACATCATCTTTTGTTAGAAATCACCTATTTTCACCTGAATATGTGCTCTATGTCTTCCAGTAGCCACACCTTATCCTTAGTGGATATATTAAAGACCCCTATTCAATGTCTGAAGTCCTACACATACAGTTTTTCCTATACATACATATGATAAAATTTAACTTATACATTAGGCAGAGATTAACAATAGTAACAAGAAATTTTCTAATGATTTCTGTAGAAACAATTATTTTAAAATGCATGAATTGTTCACTTCTGGAAGTTTCCATGTAATATTCTCAGGGCTCAGTTAACCATGAGTAACTTAAACCTCAAAGAGTGGAACTGTGAATAAATCTGTATAATTACTTAATCACGTTCTACATTTCCACCAAGACCCCGCAAGCGTTTTTTCTACATTTTTTTTTCTTGCTAATACACTGAGGAATCAAGATCTATATCCATGGGTGAAATTCACAGATGGGATTTCATATCTGTGATTGGCGGTTCAAATGAGATTCAGGGTCAGACACACAAGCACCCCTGGCAGAGATAAAGAATCAAATGAAAAGTCAGAGGATAACGGCCAGTTGTGCGTATCAGTCTCTTTTTCCTCTGCTTTCAGCAGAAACTGTTCCCTATCGTCTGTCACTCATACTCATTACTAGGGCTGTTTCTGCCTGGGCTGGGAAGGACACAGCAGGATATTGCTAAGAATCCTTCAGGCAAAGACAATAATTGAAATATTCTGATTTCAAAATGGTAATTTTTTGGCTCAGTACTGTGCTGTAAGTGGATCAGAATACAGAATAGATTCTTAGTACTGTGCTGTACCAAATGAAGCATTTTTTATTTTGCCATTTCATTATTTCTGCCACTATGTCATATAGTCATGCATGAGGTATACATTGGCAGTATATAATTTTACCGTGCTTGTGTATCTATATCAAAGAAAGGCAACATTTAAAAAAAAAAAACTCTGTTACTCTTGACTCTTAAATGCTTGATTCCAAGCATTTATTAAATGGAAAATCTCTGAGATCAATTTTATATAATTAGTCCTTTTAGCATTGCTAAAAGAAAAAGGAAGTTAAATGAGATGAAATTAATACTTACACATTTCTGTTTCAGCCTAAACCAATGCTAGTACTTTTGCATACTTTATTTCATTCAACTCTTACAAAACTTAGTATGTAGGCATTACTTCTGAAGTGCGATTAAAGACACTGAGTTTACAGAAGTTATGAAACTCCCCAGAGGGTGCACCCATACTATGGGTCAGAACTGCAATGCTGCATTTTCTTTTACTCCTAAATTTATGCTTTTTCAGATTCAAGTTGCTCAAAGTGATGATTGACTAGAGGTGTGGAGTGACCATTGCTTCCCTAACAGTGGCTTATTCTCTATAAAGTGAAAAGGCTAGTATTGTTTTGTTTTGGTTGTACTTGGGTTTGAACTCAGGGCCTCATGCTTGCCCTCTGTCACTGGACTTACACCTCAAGCCCAAAGCTAGACTTGTTTTTTCAAGAGATTTGTCAATCTTAAGAAGCCTACTGAATGTAGTTCATTTGGCAACTTCTTCCCATTGTTGTATTAAAATGGAAAGCACCAGGGCTCAATCAAGTGTTAGAGCCCTGCTTAGTAAGTGTGAGACCCTGAGTTCTAACCACAATGCTGCCAAAAAAGATAAAATGAAAAGCACCAATTCTAGTTGCTCAAGTCAATGTTCTTCTCTGACCTTTTACCTGTTTTACAAAAATAGTTGTACTTCTCAACCTGGGGCAGTATTTGGAAAGGCTCTGTAGAATTCAGGTCTAGAAAACTCAAATAGGTTGTATATGAGAGGGTAGAGAGCAGTTGATGTCTGGTAAATTGGAGCCTGCAAGCCCCCCATAAAGGTGTTCACATCCACTTAAAAACAATGTCCTAACTAAACAAAACACTTTTAAGAATTAATTAAACTTAAGGCTGCAAGTTTATCACACTTAGTGAAAATTAAATGTTGATAGGTACCTGAGCACCTGAAAATAAAGAATATTATTAACATATTGTCAGAAATAACTGAAATACTTACTATTCCATTTCTTTAATTATTTCTTCTCTAAGCAACACTAATTATTTTCAAAGAGAAGAAAGTGGTTCGGTCGCTGTGGTCTGTCTTCAGAAACACTCCTTTAAACATTAAGAAGTATAAAGACCACTATGCCTCATGTTTTAAGATTAAATATGGTTGTCCTTGTTTTGTAAATGTGACAGTTAAGTCACCAAGGAAATTTAAATGCACTATAAAAGATTTCCAAGACATTAAATTATGTACTTCAGAAGTCTAGCACTTCAAAGGTGATAAAACAGACTATGACTATTTTTAAGTAAACGGGTTGTTTTGGGGAGAAATAGAGGAGAAACCAAGAATATTTTACAAGGAGGCACTGCTAGGTTTCTAACAACTCACGCTCAGATGTGAGGCCTGTGTAAGTGAAATTTGCCCTTCGTGGCTGGCCAGGCACCCATCTTCCTTTTTCTTACCTTTTCATTGTTTGCCTCCTGATGCTGTGATCTGGGGAAATGAGTGTCCTCATCTAGAACAGTCACAGAGGAGGAGCTCTGGGCCAGAAGTGCTGCTTGTGGCAGTCAATCCCTCATTGAACTCCCAGGCTCAGCCATGATGGCCGGGTGGCCTGGCTGTGTGGGCACCAAGCAAAGTTCAGTATTTGCTTCAAATGAAAATCTAACCTCTGTGGACCACTATTCCATCTTCGCCTTTCATTTTGTCTCTGCTGTTTCTCTCTGCTCAGCAGTTCTATGTGAATAGATTGGATTATGAGCTAATGCAGGCCTATGGGTTGTTGCTAGGGAAATAAAAATACCCAGGCTGTATTTGGGGAATGGCATTTGTCCTCCAGCTTTTGCCTAGAAACACAAGAGCCTTTCCTTGTTTAGAAGTCTCCCCTTCCCAAAACAGATTTGGAAACTATGGTAAATATTTCCAATTTATTGGGTAGGACTTAGTGCTGTCTGCATTAGGCCCAGCCTGGGTTTCTAGGATTTCCTAGGAGCTTATGATAAGGAATCTGAATGACTCTTCAACTGAATGTGTTAATGTGTTTTTACAGGAGGCGATCGAGATCGGATGACAGCAAATCATGAGAGCTATCTCCTCATGGCGAGCACCCAGAATGATATGGAAGACTGGGTAAAGTCCATCCGCAGAGTCATATGGGGACCTTTTGGAGGAGGTGAGCAGATTTCAAAATCATAGAAAATTAGATAGGTAGACCAAGCTATTCATTTCTTTCCTCCAATTAATGCTACTAGTCAGCTCCTATATTCAAATGGGTGACTATTAAAATAAACAGTAAATTATTCAACATTATTGCCAACTCTTAGAGACTTAATTTAAGTCACCTCTCATTAACAACCAAACTTCTTGAACTATAAAAATTGATGATGTTTTTCTTTTAGTTTTGTTCCATTTTACTAACAACAAACAGTTATGGGAAGCATGCTATAAAAGTAGATTAGTTAAGAATATTTAGGTAAAAATCAAAAAATTTTTGACTAGTGAGTGGGTTGGAAGAGATCCCAGTCTCCAGATGCTCAATTATATCAAAAGAGAATGCCAAAAACTTTTGACAAGAATCTAAGAATCTGATATTTACTGGAATTTACAAAAAAATGCTTTGAATGAGGTATGTAAATTTGATACTATGATTTTAAAACAATCTTTCCATACAATGTCAAGAATATACTATATGAAGAATAAACTAAAAAGTGCTATGGTTAGAACTAAAATGAGGGAGAAACAATGGAATATGTGATTTTGATCTATCCAGAAATATAAAATGGAATTATATGAACAAAAAATTTATTTAAAGAAAATGGAACTCCAAAGTTAAAGATACAAAGACATTTATCTGCAACCAAGAAATCCTAATTCTTTTATATTGATATAGTTAAAAATAAATTGTGTTAAATAAAATTCAACTTAACAAGTCAATTATAATTTTCGTGTTTATATTCTGTTGTGCACTGTTAGTGTCATCAAGAAAAATGAATCCATTAAGCTTCTCCAAAATCAGTGATCACAGGTAGCCACACCAGCACAGAATTCTCAGATATAATCCCAGTAGTACTGGGAAAGAGCTATATGTGAATCTTCAAATCTATGATCCTGGGGGGAAACTCTTAGTATTTATGATCTTATTATATATTCTATCCTATGCAATGTGCTTCATGAGTTTTATAAACTCATGGTTCAAGTTAATTGTTAAGGAGATATATTTTAGCATAGAGTATCCATAATAGAAACAATGGTTCGAATAACAAATCTCTCCCCTTCCTTATTTAGTTGGAGAGTGTTGTGAGATTGCAAGCAAGCTTTTTAAGTATTCATTTAATTTGCAAGAAATATCTTGTGCTTCTTCTGAGTAAAAGAATTTTCTGAAGTTAATACAAATACAGAACCAAACTGGATGCTGGCATTGGTAGACTGCAGTTGTCACCCACAATCTTGTGTTTCAAATGCTCATTTAGTATTAATTAATCCTGTGCTCATTGAATTTTAAAGAATTTTGAGTTTTAAACAATAAACACATGTAACTACAAAACTTTCATTATATATAAGTTCCACTTAATGCTCCTTTAAAAATAAGTAAATTTTCCATAGGTTTAAGTTGTACCCCATATTCTGTGGATTAGTTCACTAAAACCCAGAGTAGATGAGTAATTTGGTAAATATCATACTGTGAGTAACAGAACCAGAAAACAAACCCATGTCTTCCTTCTGCCTTACAGCAAAATAATGTAATCTATTACCTTTACTAGGGTAGTAAAAACCCACAACTATAAGTCCACACCTTATTGATAATGCATTCTTCAGTATATGAAAAAACATTTTTAAAAGTATGATCTTTATGAAGACAGCATAGTGAAGCAGACTAAAAACTTCAAAAATGGGAGTGGATAAAGAAGGGGACTGGAAACACACTGGAGGGGATGAACCTGCTCAAGATACACTGTACACATATATGGAGTTATCATAATGAAATTCCTCATATTATTAATGAATGATAATTCAAAAATGAAATGGTCTTAAATATGATCATTAGAATTAATATAGCTTTTTCAGTCTTTCAAATATACCTGAATTCGCATCAAGAAATTACAAAAAAGAAAACATGTATAAATAATTCAAATGTCCATCCAGGAGGAATGGATACAGAGAATGTGGTATCGTCATGCTGTATATTGAAGTTTTGGTCAATGAGAGCTCTCATTATACAATGGTGGTCCCATAAAATTGTATCACCTAGTGACATCATAGCCATCTTAGTTTATACATACTCTTATCATGATTGCATGACAAAATTGCCTGTCAACATAATTCTTAGCACCTATCTCAATTGCTAGGTGATACATGACTTTACATTCATAGAGTATAATGAAGCACTAATCCATACTACAATGCAAATGTGTCTTGAATATATTATGTTAAGTGAAAGAAGGTAGCCACAAAAGACCAGACATTGTATGATTCCATTTATATGAAAGAATGGAACAGGGAGAGCTATGACGTCAGAAATAGATTAGTAGTTGTTTAGGGATAGAATGTTGGTGTGTAGGGCAATGGTAGCCAAAAAGTATGAAGTTTCTTTTGAGGTGAAAATGTTCTACAGTTGACTGTGGTGATGGCGGTCCCTATCTGTGAATCTACTAAAAAAAACATATTGAATTATGTGTGTAATTGGGTAGATTCTATGAAATATGACTTACATTAAAAGATAACAAATATTCAGATGGGGGAGAAGAACCGATGGAAGTGTGAAAGTAAGACATTCCCTTTCTAACTCCTTAGGCAGAAAACAAAATTCAATATTGAATTGAGATACCTCAACTTTGTTATGTGCTTAAAACCATCCACAATCAGTTTCTTCCTTGTTCACAATGCTAAGAAGCACACTGAGTAAGCTTAAAAGTGAATGAGAAAAATGGGTTGTCAAAACATTTATTTAGCTTTGGAAAAGTTTAGTTGTAGTTTTTTCTTCTGTTTGTTTTTACTGGCTTTCTTTCCAATAGTTTTTGAGGCAATGTTCGTGGAGGTGCCTGCTCAGGATGAGAAGAGTAAGAGAATCTATTAATTGTCCTTTCATTAGATCCGCGTGTGCAGCCTTACTTTAGCTACTCACAAAGTTAGAATCTGCCTGTATGTTCTACCTCCTTATGAAAAGAATTAAGTCACAGACCTAGCAAGACAGTGGAAGTATATTTGCAAAAATCCTTCTGATGAGTAATCAGCAGCCTGCAAGCCGGGCTTAGTTCAAAGGCAATGTGGTTTTGCCTGAGACAGGGGCCAGCTGTGTGATCTTGGATGTGCTGTTCCTTCCCTCACCTTTAGTTTCCTCACTTGTAAAATAAGAAGTTTGGACAAAGTTGTTTTAACTTTCCAGCTCTAAAAGCCTGTGATTACAAGTGTCCCCCCATTTCAACCTGCAGGTCAGTGAATTTTCCAGTTGGCTCAGGGACTTCCAAATGCTCACCCTTCTGTCTCAGTGGTGTTGACTTAACTGAGTGGTGTTTCCTCTTCCTAGCAGCATGCTGTGACATAGAAGGTAAAATCAACACTTGTGCCATAGGGCAGAAGCGACTAGTGATGATCCTTTCCATGACAGCCTTACCTGTCTGGACCTGCTAATCAGAGCAGTGATGCTGTGAATGGGAAGACCTCAGCACAATTTTGTGGCCCTCCTACTGAGGAAAGGAAGGCTTGAGAGGCCACAGGATCAGTTGGGGTTATAGCACTAGCATTCCAAATCTGCTTATGGAACAGCCAGGTAGATGAATGATTAACTCAACTAGTAAAGTATTGAGCGAAGGAGACTGAAAGTGATGGAGGACAGATGTAGGGGGTTGGGGTCATGGGGTAATGTTGAAAACTGAGCAGAGTTTCAAACCATAACCAGAGAAATATATTTATATGTATAAGAATACATACATGAATGAGTTGATTTATTTGCCATTCTACATGCTGACTCTTTGCTACTGAGTTTGTTTTATTTTATAGACACATATATATGTGTGTATACATAATATGTGTATTTTAAAAATATGCACATAAAATTAGCACTCACTAATGCACAAGGTCTGAAAAAAATGCTGTGTAGCAAGAGAGTATGTAGAAATCAGGGGGCAAAAACACTCCCCCTCCATGGATTTCTCTGGTGCCATGTGATTTCTGGAGGGACTGAGCCATCCAGCTGTAAAGGTACTGCACAAGAGGAGAGCCAGGAGGTCACTGCAAAGTCAAAGGAAGTGGAAAGGGGCTCCCAGAGCAGCACAGGCACTCTCCCTCCTCCCCTCATGTTGTGACTGCACCTGCTTCATGTGACCAGCGGGCACTGAAGGCAGCCGCAGCCACAGCTGTGACAAGGCAGCCACAGCCCTGCCAGCTCCCGCCCAGCTCTCATTGAGAAAAGGGGAGCTGAAGCAGGAGGAGGGGCAGGAGAAGCTCCCTGCAAAACCGCCTCCTTGCACAGCCAAGGAGCCTCCTGGAATGGGCACTGGATTCTGATGTGTTGATTCCCCCGGGAGCTGGAAGACAGAAGGGAAAAGGGAGAAGCCTACAGAGAGCATCAAAGGCTGAGGGGTGCTGTAAAAAGAACAGGGGAGTCCTTTGCAAGGAATCTACCATGCAGTGAAATGCTTTCTAAAGAAGGTGCCATGATTTTCCTTCCCTTTTGCACAGATGAAAGGAGCCAGCAAGGATTGTCCTGAAGTGTTCCTGAGGGGCCTTTTGTCATTGTTCCTCTTTCCCCTTGCACAAGGCTATTTGCTGACCTCTCCAGAGGAATCTCAGTCCAGCTGAGAAGAGATTTTTTAATAAAACTAAACAAAACAAAACAATTCCTGCTGCCTGAATGGGAGTTGTAGCTCGTTGGCTGCAGTTGTCTCTTGTGACATTTTGTAATGTCTGCGGAAACTTTAAAAGAATACCTTAAAAACTCCCTGGATTAGGAAAAAGTAAAGGGAGGAGATTTTTTTTTGTCAAAAGGAGTACATAAGAGTTGATTGCTAACTTATCCTTGACCCAGCATCTGGATTATCAAAACCTTGGAGTAATTAGCACTTCAAACCTAATAAATAAACAGGCATGAGAAGGAGTGGCTGTAGGTTTCCACACGGAGGCAGATTTTAAAGAAGCCTGATTGGTCTCAAGTTAGGGCTTGTATGATGCCTGAAG